GGGGCCAAATACAAGGACTGTTCGCCTCTGAATCCGTATACCGTGTCTGAATGGGGTGTTCATGTTAAACTGCGACATGGTATCTCTCTCTCACCAGAGAGTGTAGTACTTTACTACGACCAAGCTATGTTTGCAATGATATCCATTAAAATTGTAATCAAACCCAGCTTATTCATATAATTAGAGGCAGACTCACCTGTTCACGAACACAATTATTCTGGCTTTACAATGTTTTGATTTTGTTTCGTAACCCTATTGGATGACTGCTTGGGCGGTAGGGGAGCCAAGGGGTTAAAGCGTACCAGAACATTATGGTTAAAATTTAAAGGTCTGAAAATGCTGTTTCTTGAATCCTTAATACTTACCATTGATAAACCGCTCTATCCCTTATTAAAAAACCCCAACATGACTGGTCTCAAATGTAACCTTCCAAGATGGCCATTATTTACCCCCCCCCCCCCTCCCACCCCCCCATCCCCCCCCCCCCCCCCCCCCCCATCCCCCCCACGACCCGAAATATCTGATGTACAGTAAAGTACGGTTATAACGAACTCAAAGGGACCATTCATTTCAGTTCGTTATAACCGTAGTTCGTTTTAAGCATAAACATATTTACAGCAAATGGTCGGGACAAATAAAATAAGACTGTTACATCCGTCAGTTCGTTATAAGCGTGTTCGTTATAAACGTAGTTTACTGCATTAAAAAACACTAACACACGCACTCGTGCAGTGACGCAAGCAAACCCTCACTCTGGCACGCACTCACTCACAGAGTCTTACCTAATACCGATGCTTTAACACACCTAACCTGAATTAAGCAAACGATTAAACCCAACACCTTGGCCCAAAGTAAACATGTGTTCCTAATCCAAACCGATACCAAGATCAGATTGCGATATTGTAACCATAACCTGTTTCGTCTTAATCAGGATAATCTTTCTTCCGACTACTGGATCGAACACCATCAGTTCGACGAGCCAAAATGCGTAAGTATGCTATTACAGCCCAAGGCTAAGGTGTTCAGATGGGAGTGTACTGTGGACAATGTGTATTTTAAATAGTACGACCAAGATATTTAAACATGCGTTTGTCATTACTGTTGAATCACGCATCGTTGATCAGGGCTCATTATTGTGAAGAGATAGATAACGAGCGTTTCTATATACAATACGTCAACTGTATGTGTTTTGTATAAATGGGTTTGCCTGTACTGAGGGGTAACATGGGGGTGTCGAATGTACGGTTGTTTGAAATTTGTCAAAAAGACATTAAAGTACACGAATATTTATATGCAACCCCAGTTATATGACAGTGGTCTGTAAGTAATCTAATCTGGACCAGGCAAACCACTGATTGATTTTTTAATCGAGCCTGACCACCCGATACATCTAGTCGCCTCTTACGGCAGGCGTGGGGTGATGGGGGCCTATTCTAACCCCGAATATAAGCAGGCCATGTGAGTTCATATGTTTGTTTTGTTTGTTGTTTAACGTCACACTCAGCTGTATGGTGGCGGTCTGTAAATAATCGAGTCTGGACCAGATAATCCAGTGATTGACATCATGAGCATCGATCCACGCCATTGGGATACAATGACATGCATCAACAGTCAGCGAGCCTGACCACTAGATCCCGTTAGTCGCTTCTTACGACAAGCATAGTCGCTTTCATGGCAAGCATGGTTTGCTGAAGACTTAATCTACCCCGGATCATAACTTCCTTTGCATTGACATTGTGGTCAAGTCGGACAAATTTCACGTGTTAATTTCTAGCTCGGTAAGAATTCATTACCTGGCATATATGCCAATGATACGCATTGCTTGACCCAGTTGCTCACTAAAGTTTAGCATAACAACCTCCATAGTGTTGTGGATAGAGCGTCTGCCCGGATATGGGGGAGTGAGTGAGTGAGTTGGGTTTAACGCCGCTTTTAACAATATTCCAGTTATATCGCGGCGTGTCAGCTTAATGTGGGAGGAAAGCCCGAAGTGATGCAGGTCTCAGACGTTTACCACTTCGGTGAAACCCACGAGCACGGGTATGGTGCTGACAAACCTAGAAACATAATTGGGGCGAACCGGGATTCGAACCCACAATCATAGGTTTCTGGCGTGCCCAAGGGACGCAACTCTGCACAGCGAATCGCGGCGCCTTAGACGACTGGGCCACCCGTGCCCCCGCCCGGATATGGAAGGTCTGTGGTTCGATCCCCTGGCAGCGTCATACCAAAACACGTTCAAGATGGTACTTGTTACCTTGTTGGCGCTCGGCATTAAGGGGCTAAAACAAGTACCGGTCGGCTTGGGGTAAGTATACTCAGTCTGTGTCTGAGTGGGGTATAGTATCTCATTAGGCTAGCTCTATAAACCTGCATTATTCCGGACGAGTACAAGCAGCCACACACACATTCATGCACGTCGCTTTTTAGTGCAAAAATCTTCGACGCGACGTTGAACTCCATTTCGCCTCACCTCGGAAATCGAACTCATTATTGAAAACCAAGGTTACCCGCGGTGCCCGTGCTTATCATCTATGTCAGTTCAAATGGCAATCAGATCATAACGAGGAAGAAAACAATTTCTCTGGTCATCTGCTCAAGACCGTGCCAACAGGACGTAAAACGGTGATAAACCTATCGCCTTTTTCGCTTGGTTACTTCCGATTCCAGAATACGTCTCAGGCAATACAGATCGCCTTGACATAATTGAACGGTTGCCGAGCGAGAGCCCAGTCAAAGTCGTGGCGTTCAAACTTACAAGTGCATCCACACTGTGGTGTGAAATTGGAACACTGTATACAGCTTCGTCACGTCGGGGTTATTAATATCTTTTATATTCGATAGACATTTGTCACAGGATAGTGTGATGAGAAACATGATAAGAAATAAGAGAACTATGTTTTGTTAATATCATCAATGAGGATCGTGAAGAAATAGAATAATCATAAACAATTTGAGGAGACTGTCTAGAGCGGACACATACATGATTTAAGAAAGTGAAAATATTTGTCTGAAATCCCTATTTTGAGTGGTCGTGGAAAGGGGAGCAGCATAGTAATTACATTTAGTTGAGCCGGTAAGTTATTCTTGTATCCTGTGGTTTGTTTGTTGTTTAACGCCGCACTCAGCAAAATTCCAGCTATATGCCGGCGGTCTGTAAATAATCGAGCCTGGACCAGACAATCCAGGGATTGACATCGTGAGCATCGATCTACGCAGTTGTATAATATGGATCACACCCAACCAATCTTTTCTTTGACTACTCTAAACGCGCATTTGGTCAAGTCGTCAAGGGCATTGCCTATAATCGTGGGTTCGAATTCTAGATAATCCCTCATTTATTGTCCTTGGGTTTTAAGCACCATACCCGTTTCACAAAACAGATAAACATCTTAGAGTGACGTAAGACCTGCATCCCTGCAGCTTTTCTACTGAAATACTGGTAATTCAAAGCGACCTTAATTAACCCAGCTCCCTCCATGTCGTCCAATAATAGTGCGCACGGGTGGCCAAGTCGTCTAAGGCGCCGCGATTCGCTGTGCAGAGTTGCGTCCCTTGGACACGACAGAAACCTATGATTGTGGGTTCGAATCCCGGTTCTCCCCGATTATGTTTCTACGTTTGTCAGCACCATACCCGTGCTCGTGGGTTTCACCGAAGTGGTAAAAATCTGAGGCCTGTATTACTTCGGGCTTTCCTCCCACATTAAGCTGACGCGCCGTGATATAACTGGAATACTGTTAAAAGCGGCGTTAAACCCAACTCACTCGTCAAATAATACGAGTTGACAACCTCCACACAAAGCACATGTGTAGTCATAATAATACAGGCTCTCAACATCATCAAATAACACTGTTGACGTAATGCAGATAGAACTGTTAACGTCACGGGAAACACGTCAGAATAGTGTGCGTGCGTGTGTGCGTTGATTAACGCCTAACTCCATTAATTCGTCACAACGCCCTTTTCCGTAACCTGCAAGAAGACTCGTCCCCCTATCGATGAATGTTTTGTGCGAAAATACGACAAACCAATCAGAATGCGCTTATGATTTCAAGTTCTTCGTCAAAGAATCCCTCAGAAATAATTTTTGATTTTATATATGTCTTGCATCTTTAAATATACCCAAGACACAGTTAAATGTGTTCAATCATACTGTATAATTCCGCATGTTCCGATGTGTTGCATCTGAAATATATATAATATATGGGGAAATATATGTGAACCATTGTTTTAGGTATGCCGTTTGCGCTAAGACGGAACCCGGTCGCAAAAATGGCCATGAGAAGGGCACGAGTCGCTATTCGGCTTGTCCCGGAATAACACGAGTTGGTCACGAATGGCCTAACTCAGCAATATTCCAGCTGTGTGACGGCGGTTTGTAAATATACGAATCTGGACCAGACAATCCACTGATTGACATCATGGGCATCATTCCACACTATTGGGATACGCTGACATGCATCAACCAAGTCAACGTATGGGCGGCCATTCGGTCAAAAAATACAATGTTGAAAAAAAAGTACGCAATTAAAGTCAAATATTACGAATAAAGAACTAAATGTTACTACTAAAAGTCAAAATACAATATTAATAGTCAAATGTTACGAAAAGACGTCATAAGAAAAGAAAAAACAATGTATACGAAAGAACGTCAGTGAGCACGAAAGGACGTTTTCAATAAAGAACGTCAGTGAGCACGAAAGGACGTTTTTCAATAAAGAACGTCAGTGAGCACGAAAGGACGTTGACAATAAAGAACGTCAGTGAGCACGAAAGGACGTTTTTCAATAAAGAACGTCAGTGAGCACGAAAGGACGTTGACAATAAAGAACGCCAGATGGCGCTGCAATTTGTAAAACATTCCGAGTTTCATCGGCTTGTTCCGCTGTATATGATAACTGCATGCCGAGGTGCACAATGTATTACGTCATTCCTCGTGCACTCACCGTCTGACGTCACACACATATATACATGTATTTATAATATCACCGAGTCTGACCACCCAATCCATAAGGTCGCCTCTTTAAAATACGACCTGCACAGGTTGCCGGGAACCTATTCTAACCCGGACCTCTGACACAAGTTTCGGTAAAACTAGTCACACGCATCAGATAATAATTTCTATGTATCCTATCCTAAACCTCTAAATGTTAAAATCAGTTAATCATCTATACCCAACCCTCCTCAAATATAGACCCTCACACACAATACACTCAAGGACTCGCCCGTTGACATATTTTGCCGGTCACGGGTGACTTATTGAACAGTGAAGCAAGCCTAATTTCACCACACGCATATCATGTGTCACTGGACGACACATTAAGATGTGTATTCGCACTTAAATGAAAAAACTTTGTGATTCCCGCTGTGCCAACAATAATGCTATCCTATCCCAGAAACGTCAAGACAAATTGCCTGGAATTCCATATAAAAGCGATATAACACTTTGCTGAGCCAAGCTCCAACGCATGCGCATGTGGTTGACAGAGCCAAACGTACACAGAAGGCGCTTTGGTGAGTTGACACATCTCGAAGTTAACCCAGCAAGACGCAGGATTTACCAGTGGGTGTGAGGACGAAAGGTAGGTCTGTCAGGAGTTAATATGTTTGTTTTCTTATCAAGCGTTGTTTGCACAGTGCACACACAGATACTGGGATTCTCGAGGCGAGATGCAGCGTGATGAACCAAGTTGAATTGTCAGCTGGATAACGACTGTCGTAGAACTGTCACTCGCAAGCGTGTGGTTTATAGGGTTATATTTGTTGTTTTACAAATTGTTAAAGGATTACACAGAGAGGATTTAAGTGTGTGTGTACGTGCGCCTTTACGTGTGTGTGTGTGAGAGAGAGATGCGTGTGTAGGGGGCGTGGGGGGGGGGGGAGGGAGGGAGGGGACGTGAGAGTTTTTTTTTGGAGGGGTTGCTGAAATTTGCTGTCCAGGAGCTGCATCCCTAAAACATTCTAGAAAATATATAATCTTGGTTTCGAATCCCTGATGGTTTGTCACAACCATACCCATGTTCATTGGGTTCAATAAGGTGGTGGGGGCACAGGTGACCCAGTCATCTAAGGCACTGCAATTTGCTGTGCAGAGTTATGTCCCTTGGGAGCGCCAGAAACTGATGATTGTAGGTTCGAATCCCGGTTTGCCCTGATTGTTTCAAGGTTTGTCAGAACCATACCCGTGCTCGTAGGTTTCACCAAAGTGGTAAATGTCGGACGCCAGAATCACATCGGCCTTTTCTCCCACATTGAGCTGACACACCGTGATATAACTGGAATACTGTTCAAAGCACTAAACAAAACACACTCATTCACTGTCAGTGACTTTACTTTTGGCAGCAGCTGATATCTAATAACTCTCAACATCTCAGCTGGCAGTTGACCTCTGCTGTACAAGGGGGCACGGGTGGCACAGTCGTCTAAGGCGCCATGATTCACTGTTCAGAGTTGAGTCCCTTGGACATGCCAGGAAACCTATGATTGTGGGTTTGAATCCCGGTTCGCCCCATTATGTTTCTAGATTTGTCAGCACTATACCCATGCTCGTGGGTTTCACCGAAGTAGTAGGAGTCTGGGACCTGCATCACTTCAAGCTTTCCTCACACATTTAGTTGACATGCTGTGATATAACTGGAATAATGTTAAAAGCAGCGTTAAACCCACCTCACTCACTCACTCTGCTGTACTTATTAATGTTTTGTGTCAGTCCTTACCAATCACCCACTGTCATATTTGGTACTCACAACATATGTCCTATAAAACAATTACGGCCCTCCCACACACTCAGAAAGGTTGATAAATCAACAGCTGATGCATATATATGTTAATCCATAAATTTGGGTTACAAAATGTTAGACAGGTCTCATGTATTATTGATAATTTTAAAGGTGAAACTTGAAAAGTATCTTCTAGCCTCCCACACGTGTGTTCTATGAAAAGTACTCTGATGTGGTGCTAAAAATTGAAGTTGAATGTCAGTTATGAATATTTATAATTCGACATTTTATCCAGAAGAGAAATATGTATCACTGCCATATTCAACAAAGTGATCTTGGGCATGGGTGGCACAGTCGTCTAAGGGTCACAACCCTCTGTGCAGAGTTGCATCCCTTGGTTATGCCTGAAACCTATGATTGTGGGTTCAAATCCTGGTTCGCCCCAATTATGTTTCTAGGTTTGTCAGCACCATACCCATGCTTGTGGCTTTCACCAGTGTAGTAAACATCTGTGACCTTCATCACTTCGGCCTTTCCTCCCACATTAAGCTGACAAATGTAGGTCTTGAGTACTGTTAAAAGAGATGTTAAACCCTACTCACTCACTCTCAAAGTGATCTCTGTGCAATGTGTTGCATATGTAAGATTTTATGTAATCTCAACACAAATGATCGCTTCAAGGAATGGTGACCAGAGTTTATTGTACATATTTATTTGATACACATAAGTATTTCCCTGAAAAGTTTCTTTTACTCAGAGACTGACCATTTCATATTGTGGGGGACTTTTATTTGATCGAAAAAAATAAATTGCCCCCGAAAATAAATAATTATGCTTGAGGCTGTTGAAAAAACAAAATTGCCTGCCACAAAAATGATGTTGATGCAAGGTGTTTTTCTTAAAAATGATTCAGGCTGTATCGGTGTCAGGATGGGGTTGAGATTTCAATAACGATCTCTTGTTATAAACAATTTGTTACAACTATTTCCTCATTTATAATTATCAGGGTCTTCATTGTGTATCTTTGGAAGAAACTTACAGGATTTAACATGAAAAAACATGCCTCTTAAAAGGTATGTAAGCATTCAATGTATGTTTGTTTTATTAACTCCGGTTTTTATAGAGGTTGATAGTCGACCTAAGAATAATTTATATTGAATATGTTTTTACAAACAATCACAAATAAATTTTTATGATCTGTTACTCCAATATTACACTGTGGACCCTCATTACTCCGGATATCACTGTCCTGGAAACCACACAATACAGATCAGAGACAATCAGAGACAATCAAGCACAATCAATATCATTCTTGTAGTTAAAATACCTCTGACGTGTAGAGAGTAAATCCTAATTTAGAACAACATGATGTTTTTCCTCCATTTGCCTGCTAAGGGTGTTTAGAATCCAAGGTAAATCCTTGGAAACTGGCTTGAGAAGTGGCTTTCCATGACAGATGCTGGTTCATGGTAAGTACCTTGAGAAGTGGGTTTCCACTGACAGATGCTGGTTCATGGTAAGTACCTTGAGAAGTGGGTTTCCATGACAGATGCTGGTTCATGGTAAGTACCTAGAGAAGTGGCTTTCCACTGACAGATGCTGGTTCATGGTAAGTACCTTGAGAAGTGGGTTTCCATGACAGATGATGGTTCATGGTAAGTACCTAGAGAAGTGGCTTTCCATTGACAGATGCTGGTTCATGGTAAGTACCTAGAGAAGTAGCTTTCCATTGACAGATGCTGGTTCATGGTAAGTACCTAGAGAAGTGGCTTTCCATTGACAGATGCTGGTTCATGGTAAGTACCTAGAGAAGTGGCTTTCCACTGACAGATGCTGGTTCATGGTAAGTACCTAGAGAAGTGGCTTTCCATTGACAGATGCTGGTTCATGGTAAGTACCTAGAGAAGTGGCTTTCCACTGACAGATGCTGGTTCATTATAAGTACCTTGAGAAGTGGCTTTCCATTGACAGATGCTGGTTCATGGTAAGTACCTAGAGAAGTAGCTTTCCACTGACAGATGCTGGTTCATGGTAAGTACCTAGAGAAGTGGCTTTCCATTGACAGATGCTGGTTCATGGTAAGTACCTTGAGAAGAAGCTTTCCATTGACAGATGCTGGTTCATGGTAAGTACCTAGAGAAGTGGCTTTCCATTGACAGATGCTGGTTCATGGTAAGTACCTTGAGAAGTAGCTTTCCATTGACAGATGCTGGTTCATGGTAAGTACCTTGAAGTGACTTCCCATTGACAGATGCTGGTTCATGGTAAGTCTTTTGCACATCTGAAATATATTTGATGTGTTTATTTCACATAAACATATATTTGAAGTGTTTACTGCAAACGTGAAGTATACAAGTTACTGAGGTGCTACTTGATCTGCCCACAGCTGTCGCCACCCAGGTGTGTAGTCCCTGTGTTATAGCATACGCAACACCTGTCACTCATGTAGATATCAGGCAATATGCTGTGTGTCACTAGATCAACATGTTACATAGTTCATATGAGATTACAACAGTTGGAATGGGATACAATACACAAACTAAAATCAGTTTGTTCGGATCATTGTTTAGTGACTAAATAGAATACATCTCTGAACCTGCGTGATGTGAGTTGTTAAGATCTGCTTTGATTTTCGACCGAGATTAAACACAAGAGTTTGTAGTTGTATCTGATACTTGAACGATAAGAATTACAAATGGACTTCTGTATGTAAACTTTGTAAGACTAAGTGTACTACATCCCAAATTGTTCAGGATAATGTGTGGCCATTTCTTTGTGTACTTGATTCAGCAATATCAGCCACTAGGACTATGACAGGTACTGGAGTACCAGATAAAGGTCGGGTTCAGGTGGACCAAAGTCTGTTTTCAAGGACTTGACAGCCTGGGGAATGGAGATAACTCTAAATGAAACTTGTTGACAAGGACAGATAACTCTTCTCTCTTTCGTAGTACACATGGCTGTGGTAGGCTGACCAAATGGAAGAAACACATTGTAGCACTGCACACGTTTGCCTTGATAAAGCTGAATGGACACTGCTAGAAACACAAGAAGTTCATCCAACTCAATGCATAAACAGCTTAGTATGAAATACAAATCAATCTCAAGTTCTTCCAATCAATGTTAGGTGTACAGTGTTTGGTGTTTGGAGCTCTGTAGGAAAAGGTGCCACAATCTGTGTGCACGGTCATGCAGTGTGCCAGGACCTTAAAAATCCTTTAAGAATGGTTCAAATCCCCAAATCAACAGGGCATGGAGAGCAACTGTTCCCCACATTGGTACACTGTGTGAAGCCCTGTTATTTTGCTGGAACTTTGCTGGAATTTTGCTAAAAGTGGGGTAATACTGTACTCACTCTCTCATTACTCACTCATTTGTAGAGCTAATAGCAACTCATTAAACACCAAGACATTCTACAAAACTGTTCTAAACAGCAAGTAAATTCATTAAGCATCAAGATTGCATCTCAGAAGTTCCTTGCAGAACAAGTAACATCGGCTGTCTGGCAGAACTTGGACTATATCCCCTTAACATTTCAATATTCATATCAATGTACAACTATTACTTTGAGCTATTAGATGTTAAGAATGATGGATTACTCACTGCCACCTTCTATGAAGATAAAACATTGAACTCATGGCCCTCTTCAATAAATACTCTACTCAACTACCTTTTCCCTGATCTGGCTCACAATAACATCTCTTCTGGAAAATTTATGGAAACTGTGCATGAAAAGTTCATGTACATATACCTCAGTGAAACTGACAAAGCCCCATCCACTAAACCACAAAAGCTCAGACACCTCGGGAAAATAGGAGACAAATTTGGAATTAAACCAAACTGAAAGTAACCACTGCATTAGA